CAATGTTTCTCTCTCATCAATGTTTCTAACTCTCTATCTCTCTCCCTTCCTCTCTGTACAAAATCAATAAAATATATATATAAATAAAAAAAAGACACGGAGTCCAGGCGATCAAAAGGGGGGGAGGTTTTAATCTGTGCTCCGGGACGAAGCTCGCTGGTCCGGGGTGGGCCAGGGAAGTTTGCGCCAAAAGGCGGCACAGGTACCTCTTTTATACAGCTGTTTCCGGGGGAGGGGGAGGGGGGGGGCATGAGAGGTGGAATTCCTGCTTCAGGCCAGGGGTCCAGGAAGGCCCTAGGAAGGCGCCAGCTATCTCTGCCACCATCCACCTTGCAGCTGCTTGCATGGGCTCTGGGCTTCCCCCCTGCCCGGACCTAACAGTGCCCACTCCCCTGCTTCTGCCCTGGGTCCCAGGCGCTTCTCTCCTGGAGCCTGTCCGTGTGCTCGTCTGTCTCCTCCCTCCACCCGCACGCCCCAGGACAGGAACTGCGTGTGTTATTTCTCCCCTCTGCTCCTGGCTCACACGAGGTGCTCACGGAATGGTGAACAGGCGACTGCCTACTTACTTGGTCAGTACCCCGGGAACAACAGTGCTGGTTCTCACGGTCCCTCAGCAGAGATGTTTCGTCCATGTCTGTCCCCTTCACAGAGGAGGAAACCAAGGCAAGCTCAACATAAGTCACTGTCCCCTGTGCATCCTTCCCACTTAGGCTAGACCGGCCTGACTCCGGGGAAATGGCCCTCTCTCCCAAACCCCAGGAAAATGTTAATGAACTTATTCCACAATGAAAGGCCTACTCTGTGTGAGCGACTGGTGGGATAAGTGCTTCCCTCTCTCCCTCATGATCCCATGAGGAGCTGTCGTCATCATTCAGGGGTCACACAAAGCTGCAGGACCCCTCAGAGCCATCCCAGAAGGCCCTGGTCCGTGAGACCTGGCAGAGCCCTGAGGCCGGGGTCAGTGCCCCTGGCTGGGGTCTCCAGTCTACAAGCCACCGCGGGTGCACGTGGGTGCCAGACACCGGCCTCACTGCCCGTCTTCTCCCCCTCCGCCCCTCTCCGCACACTGCCCTGGAGGCACCGGAGGCAGGAGGAGCCTTGTGAGTTGTGAAGAGAAAACTCTGAAGACAAGGAGAGGCTGGGGGAGCTGATTGAAGGGCACCTCTTCCCCTCCCTGCCCCCCCCCCCGTACCCCCCATGCCCAGGAGACCCTCCCTCCTCTCCTAAAATATTATTCTATAGAACAGCAGGGTCAGGAGCGATATGAAAGGTCTTCCAGCTGGAAATGCCACCGTTTAGATTTATCTGGGTCACAAAATCATTTGTTTAAAGAGCAAAGTAGGGCAGCCCCGGGGGAGTGGAAAGAGCCCGTTTCGGAGTCAGAAGGACTTGGGTTCCACTGAGAGCTTCTCAGGGCCCAGCTTGGGGCCCTGGAGAAAGTGCCAGACCTCTGGGCCTTGGTTTTCTCATCCCATAAAGTCAGACAGGGCTCCCCCAGGGAGGGGGCCACCCTGAAGGCAGTGTCAGATCCTGGAGGTGTTTGGAGACTGAGCAACCAGGAAACCCGGTTTTGAGCTCTGTTCTCTGCAATGCCTGTGACAGTGGCTGCACATCAGAGGCCCTCAAAGACAATTTCTTTTCTATTTTATTTTATTTTATTTTTTAAAATATATTTTATTGATTTTTTACAGAGAGGAAGAGAAAGGGATAGAGTTAGAAAAATCGATGAGAGAGAATCATCAATCAGCTGCCCCCTCTCCCCCCATGCACCTCCCTACTGGGGATGTGCCCACAACCAAGGTACATGCCCTTGACCGGAATCAAACCTGGGCCCTTTCAGTCCTCAGGCCAAACTGAGCCAAACCGGTTTTGGCAAGGATGATTTTTTGTATCAGTGAATGGAGGAGCTACCACTCCTTAAGTGCTAGGTACCTTTTGTTTTTGTTATTAATCCTCACCCAGGATATATTTTCCGCTGATTTTTTAATTTTTATTTTAAAAATATATATTTTATTGATTTTTTTTTTTTTTTTTTTTTTTTTTTTTTTTTTTTTTTTTTTTTTTTTACAGAGAGGAAGGGAGAGGGATAGAAAGCCAGAAACATCAATGAGAGATGTTAATGAAAAAAACATTGAAACCTGTAAAGAATTGTTGAGTTTATTTGAGCCAAACTGTCGACATAAGCCGGGAAGCAGAACCTCAATGGATTGAGATAACGCTCCGGAGAATGGCAGGTTACATTTCTATATTTATACATTGCAATCAAAGGAGGGACATAGGTGGGTTACATGAAATTCATTTGGTGATGGATTAAGGAGGCGGGAGAAAGCAAAGCGGTGGGAAACCCCTGGCATTGGATAAAAAGTAAAATGATGGACAAGTATTAAGGTGAGTGCAGGAACAATTAATATGATAAAGAAGGAATTTGAGGCATCTGTCCTGGTGCCCACCACATTTTTTATGCCCCAGGGGCTCCAGAAAAAGGGAAGTTATAAGTTAACCAGATATCTCACAGAAATGTTATCTTAAAGACAAACTGGCAAAAGGGCTCAGGAAAGATCTAAGTTGATCTTTGTCAGGGAAAATATTGGCCTAGGACATGACTACCCTCTATAACCTGTTTGTAGTTAGATATTTAATTTTCAAACCATCTTCTGTGGTTATCTTAGGTCTCTGAGTTTGCAAGACTGCCACGCAGGCCTCCCCTGAGCTTGTGAGGTTAGCATGTGGCACCTTTCGTTCACAGAGAGAAACATTGATCAGTTGCCTCCTGCACAGCTCTCACTGGGGATGTGCCCCCAACCAAGGTACATGACCTTGATTGGAATGGAACCTGGGACCTCTCAGTCTGCAGGTGGATACTCTATCCACTGAGCCAAACCGGTTTCGGCGTCCACTGATTTTTAGAGAGTAGAAGGGAGGGATCGGGAGGGAAAGAGAGAAATTTAAAAAATATATTTTTATTGACTTTTTTCAGAGAGGAAGGGAGAGGGACAGAGAGTCAGAAACATCAATGAGAGAGAAACATCCATCAGCTGCCTCCTGCACACCCCCTCCTGGGGATGTGCCCGCAACCAAGGTACATGCCCTTGATCGGAATCGAACCTGGGACCCTTCAGTCTGCAGGCCGATGCTCTGTCCACTGAGCCAAACCAGTCAGGGTGCGAGAGAGAAATATTAATGTGAGAGAGACACATAGCCTTCCCCACGCACCCCAACTGGGCCAGGAGTAAACCTGCAACCCAGATACTCAAGGGAATCGAACCCACACTCTATCCACTGAGCCAAACTGGCTGAGGATTTCAATCCTCAACAGTCCCAGGCGGGGAGAGATTAGGAAATGGCCAGAGGGCAATGAGCTAAACGGTGGCGTGGAACTGGGAGCGTTCCTTGGCTTCCCTCCGAGCTGGGCACAGGAGGCACTGGGGGAGAGGTTCCCAGGTTCCAGAAGGCATGGCTCCTGCCTCAGAGCTGCTGGGAGACAGCGAAACTGGGGGATAAACTGGGAAGCAGGGCCTGGCCGGTTTTGGCCGGTTTTGTCGTTGACCCGCTCAAGAGCCCTCACTGTGCAGACATTTCAGTGGGCCCCAAGGAGGCCCCCAAGTGTGTGGATGAAGGGGGCATGGCCCATGACCGGAATCGAACCCGGGATCCTCCAGTCTGCAGGCCGACGCGCTATTCACTGAGCCAAACCGATTTCGGCTGGAAAGTCCTTATTCTAGGTCAGCATCCCCGGCAACACGACATCTCCGGGTCCCTAGATGACATCACGAAGGAGGCGTGGTCTCAGGGCTGCGGACAAGGTCCGACCCAGGGGGCGTGACCCGCGCAGCCCAGGCCCCGCCCCTAAAGGCGAGGAGACCGGAAGTCCTCCCGCCCCCAGCCGCCGCCGTCCTCCCTCAGTCCCGCCCCTCCGCCCCGCGCACAAGGTCGTGTCCCGGAAGTGAAGGGGCCATGTTGCTGGGTGACCCGGGGAGAGGAACCGGGCGAGAGGCGAGTCCCGAGGAGTCGTAGCGCGGCCCGCGGGTGAGTGCGGGGGGGTCGGGGCCGGGTTCGCCGAGCTCCTCTCGGGGCGCTGCCCGGCGCCCCCATCCGGCCGGGGCCGGGGCTGCGGGCCTGGCCGCCGGGGTCTCCCCGGCCCGCCCTGGGCCATCTCTGCGGAGCCGCTCCGGCCCTTGGGTCCCCCACCCCGACACGGCTCCCCCCTCCCCCCGGCCGGCGGGGGACTGGGACCTGCCGGGCCCTCGCCGCCCTCCCCAGGGGGACCCGTGCGAACAGCCTTACGTGACAGTCGCCTCCCACCTCATAGAGCACGTTCCCTGCTGGTTTTCTGGTTCGTCTCCCGCTGGCGCGGCCTCGGGGCCGGGGTGGGGGTGGGGGTAGCTCTACATTCGAGGAAAGGGGCAGGGACAGGGCTTGGTCCGGCCCGGCCAGAGGCTGATGGCTCGCTGACTTTGGGCCCAGAGTTCAGATCCTCCCGCCCCCCGCAGTCTCATTCCTTTATTTGTGGAACGGGGGGCTCATTCTCCCGCGCAGGGGCGTTGTGGGGTTCCCCTTCATCAACCTGGTTTTCCAGCTCCTGGTGTGTGCCCGGCGCTGCGCTGGGGAAGTTTGGGAGCCGCACATGGTGGGGCCCCGGCTAGAGGGCACCCTCCTCCCTCCCGAGGCCGGAATGGGGGTCAGGGTGCAGCCACCCTGGTCCCTGGGCAGGTGACTTCTCCCTGGAGCTGCAGGCTCCCCGCTGACGATGGCCTGGGACTGTTGATAGAGTGAGATGTGGGATATGCTTAGAACATGTGTGATACATAGTAAGCAGTAAGTGTTCACTGTTACTATGACCCCTGACCACCTCCTAGGTTCCTTCATGTAAATATGATGGGTGACAAAGCACTTTACTAACGCCAGCACCCTGTTCCTGGAAGGGGATGGTGGCAGTTCACGAGGAACGAAATCCGTTTATTGAGCCTTTACATACCAGGCTCCGTGGCACTAGTGATCGCCATCCGAGTTAGATGGAGTCTTGGTATGTGCCAAGTGCTGTGCCAGACATGTGCCCATACGTTACCTCCTCTTACCCTCATACCAGCCATTTGGGCAGAATGCAGTTTGAATCCTCACTTTCCGGGTGGGAAGCAGGTAAGGCAGAGGGGCTAAGAAATCTGCCCACGGCGATGAGCTCAGGATTCATGTGTGTCTGAGGGTCTTCTGGGCAGCCTGGACCACCCCTGCGCTGAAATGCTGTTACAGATGCTTTACATGTGTTATCACACTGTTCTCAACTATGTAGCAGCTTCTGGTAACAAATATTCCCATTTTGCAAGGGAGAAGGCGGATGCTCAGAGGGGGGAAATGCTTTGTCCAAAGTCACGTGGAAGTCATGTGATAAGCCGAGGAGGGAGGATGCAGGCCCAGACAGTTCAGTTTCCCAGCCCTGGCCCCTCAGCATAAACTGTGCTTCCCAGGAGCAGGATGAGAGGCTGGGGTCTGGCCCTGACCCTGTCCCTAACTTACAGTGCGGCCTTGGGGGCGTCTGAGACGTTCAGGAAGGACTCTTGACTTTTAGATCGTCTCCGTAGCCCTTCTGTCACTAATTCTGACTCCAGGCTTCTGTTTCCCTCCTGCTTACAGCTTGGCGCCCAGCCCCTGCGCGTCCCCCATGGCCCCGTGGAGCCGAGAGGCGGTGCTGAGTCTCTACCGGGCTCTGCTGCGCCAGGGCCGGGAGCTCCGCTACACCGACCGGGACTTCTATCTCGCCTCCATCCGCCGTGAGTTCCGGAAAAATCAGAAGCTAGAGGATCCCAAGGCCCGGGAGAGGCAGCTGGAAAAGGGCCTGGTCTTCCTCCAGCGCAGACTGGGGGGCCTGATTTAAGACCCTCTCCTGTCCTCGTCCATCCTGATTCCCAGGGAGGGAGGGCACAGGTGCCTTCTGCGGACCGCCTGCGCGCCCACCCCCGCCTCACAGATGCAGTAGCAGCTGCAGGTAGGTAGGCCCGTGACCGGAATCGAACCCGGGACCCTTCAGTCCACAGACCGACGCTCTAACCACTGAGCCACACCCGTGTCGGCGGTGTCGTTTTTTGTTTTTTTTCTGATGCCGGGGACCTGGAGCGGGAGACCCTTTCCTTTTAGGGACTGAAGTCCTTTAATCATTAGAAATCAGCGGAGAAACGGCAGACACATGAACAGAGGTCTGTCCCCTTACTGAGAAAAGAGGCCCTGAGTTTAAGCCCTGCCAGAATGGGACTGTTATCACCATTCTAGTTCACATATAACGGTTTAACTGTGAAAACGTGAGAAAAGACATCGCTTAAAATGATTAGGGTTTAATTCCAGGCTGGCTCATTCTTCTGTACATTCAGTTATCCTGCGGGTCTGACCACATCCCCCAAAACATAACTACTGTAGATCCCGGGACAGCGGTCTGTGCTGTAAAGCAAGCAGAGGGTACAGACGTCGGGGGACAGCGGGGTTTAGGCCTCCATTGCCTCGTGTGTAAAATGGACATACTCCCTCTTCAGGCCATGAGAATTCAGTGAGCATGCACACACAGCCCTGAGGGTTACTTAGGATTGCTCCCGATACCACTGTTCCTGAAGTCCTACTGAGTGTCACCTAATGGTCGTATGTCATTCAGCAGCTTCCCCAGAGGGCCTTCCATGTGCTGGCCTTCCTGTAGGCGCTGGGGTAGAGGTGATGGTGCTGTCCACCCAGGGAGTTGGTCTCAGAGATCAGCAGGAAGTAACTGCGGCACGAGCAGCTGTAACGGAGGGGGCCAGGGCACAGAGACACGGACAGGAACCTAGCTGCCTGGGGCAGGTGGCAGGGACCCGGGAGCTGCAGGAAAGGGGACATTTGAGGCTGCTGAGGAGATGGGAAGCAGCAGCCAGTGAGGTGCAGCTGCACTTTGTGCTGGAAACTTGAGTCTGGCTTGGCTAGAACGGTGCACCTGCGAGGCAGGTGGCTGGCGTGGAGGCTGGGCCCGGTCCGGAAGGACACCGAATGCCCCGGGGAGGAGATGGGGCGGCTGATAGGAGGGGGACCGGCACAGCTTTGAAAGCAGCGAATGTCCTGGGAGAGGAAGCGGGGCAGTGGCAGCCGGAGAAGAAGTTGGGGGCAGAGACAAGAGGCAGCGAACGTGGCCGCTGAGATTGGACCGAGGAGGTGGTGGTGGTGGGGGGGGGGGACGTAAATATGGCTCGTACGGCAGCGGGGTTTGGCCACCCGCTCGCTAAAGCAGGAGGAGAAAGAAGAATGGGGGATAACTGAGGGGAAAGCTAGGAGGGACTGCTCAGCTTCCACAGGAAAAGCAGGGAGGAGCCGTATGGAATGGCTTTTGGTCCTCAGCCACTAGGTTGATGGCAGACAGATCGGAATCAAACCTGGGACCCTTCAGTCCCCAGGCTGATGCTCCATCCACTGAGCCAAAATGGTTTCGGCAAGGGCAGCAGGTTTTATGTAAGCCAGTCCTTTGGAGATTGGCTTTTTTTTTTTTTTTTTTTTTTTAATATATTTTATTGATTTTTTACAGAGAGGAAGGAAGAGATAGAAAGTTAGAAACATCGATGAGAGAGAATCATCGATCAGCTGCCTCTTGTACACCCCCTACTGGGGATGTGCCCGCAACTAAGGCACATGCCCTTGACTGGAATCAAACCTGGGACCTTTCAGTCCGCAGGCCGACGCTCTATCCATTGAGCCAAACTGGTTTCGGCAAGGACGGCAGGTCTGGAACCACATAGTGAGGTCCTGAGCTCCTAATCAGTTTTGTCTGAGTTGGGTTACAGGTCGCCACCACCCCCTCCTTGGAAAAACAAACAAAAAGCCACCGGGTTCACAGCTCACTTGAGCAACACATACTGTGTGTCACCCATGGGCGGGGCCGGAGCAGTGAATGAAGCAGAGGCCCCCGAAAGCTTGTGTTCTAGTGGTTAACAGGACATGTGAGCAGGCTGCCTGAGACCCCGTCCACTACCCCCAGCAGCTTGTCTGGTTCCGATCTCGGCCCCACTTACTGCCATGGTGACCCTGGGCCAGTGCCGCCACCTTTGTCTCCGTTTCTTCGTCTGGAAATGGGGATGGTGTGACTGCCTGCCTGACGGGATTGTTGGGGTGAGGAGTGTTTCTGAAATGCTGGCAGTGCTCAGATTCTCCACCCCCTGCCCTGCCCCGCCCTGCCCGCCCTGCCCGCCAGGCCACAGCCAGTTTTCAGGGTACAGTTCAGTAGCGTTAAGAATATTCACATTGTTTATGCCACATGAACAAAATCACAGATTTGGTTTTGTACTTTTGTTCCTCTTTGTATTCAGTTGTGTAGTACTTCCAATTCATAGTGAGAAGCAAAGCTGTTCTGTATCAAACCGTCTAAGCAATGTTATATTTTAAAAATGGCAAGAAAAAAAAAAATGTCCACCCTGTGGTGTAACATCTCCAGAACTTTTTATCTTGCAAAACGGAGACTCTTTGCCCATCAAAGCCCAGCGCTCTGATAGCACTGAGGAGCCCGCCCCCTGCCTGGCGCTCCCACTGGCAGGACGCACGGAGGCGAAGCCCTTCCAGCTGGAACTGGGCACCTAGAGGAAGCCCTCAGCTCCTGCTTGAGCTCATGGCTGTGCGCTCCTCCAGGTCACCAGGCCCCTGGGTGGGGAGCATGTTGCGCTAGAGGAGGAACCGTCTGCTCAACTTAAGGGTTTAATCTTCAGCCCAGGACAGCATGCGCCTGAGCTTTAGAGGCCCTTCCTGCCTCTGTCTCAGGAGCTCAGAGGTAGCTCAGAGAGCAGCTGGATGGCTGGCTGCCTTCTGGAAGTTGAACTTTTGTCCTGTGGGTACAAATCTGAAAAGACAATGATAAACCCAAATTTTTGGAGTACTTGACAGTTTGTTTATTTTTTATTTAAAAAAAATATATTTTATTGATTTTTTACAGAGAGGAAGAGAGGGATAGAGAGGTAGAAACATCGATGCGAGAGAAGCATCGATCAGCTGCCTCCTGCACACCCCCTACTGGGGATGTGTCCGCAACCAAGGTACATGCCCTTGAGGGCAATTGAACCTGGGACCTTTCAGTCCGCAGGCCAACGCTCTATCCACTGAGCCAAACTGGTTTCGGCTGACAGTTTATTTTAACGTACTTGACAGTATAGAAGTGTTTCCATACAGGATTTTCCCCTCACTACAGCTCTGTGATTTAGGCCCTGCGAAAATTATAAATTTCATCATTTCCCCCCTTTCCTAGCTCAGGGGTTAAATAACTCAGGGTTCAAAGGCGAGGACTCCATCTCAGGATTTCTGACTCAAAAACCCAGGCTTTTTTCTGTTCTCCCACATCACCGCCTGCACTCTACAGTTGGTCAGATGGACCAGGACTGAATGGCCGGGGGTGGGGAGGGGGGCTCCTTCTGGCTTCTGCTCGGAGGGAGGACATGCCCTTCTGTCTGCTGCTCCCATCCAGGGACCACTTCGAGCAGGGGGGAGCCTTTTTCTGCCAGGAGCCATTTAGGTTTTTGTAACCACCTTCATGGGCCAGGATGTTATTATCTACCTGAAAAAATTATCTACCTAAAAACCAGCCTGCGTCAGACAACTCACCACTAATGCCTTGGCAGGGCCAACATGGCCCTCTGGCCAGACGTTCCCCACCCCTGCCTTAGAGCGTCTCCATCCAGTGGCTCTCTCTACTACAACTGTATTAGCAGAGCTTCTCTTGGTTAAAACAACCACAGATCGGGGGCTATCACGTGTGGGAACCATGCAGTGTCCATGTGGTCTTGGCTGGATTCTGCTGCCTCACCTGAGTGATACGTCCCATCCCTGTGCCAGTGGCCACTGGAGAGGATGATTGGCATCTGGCCGGCCTCCCTGGAAATACAAAGGAAACTCTGTCGGCTTGGCTTGCTCTGTGTTTGACGTGGGAATGCAGTTCATTTGGCCAAGTGGTCTCATGTGCCCCTCCCGTGAAGCTCTGTTACTGTGAAAGGGGGAGAAAAGGGCCACCCAGGCAATAGCTCTAGTTCGGGGGAAATATTCTTGGACTTGACAGCGACTGTCAGCCAGCAGTGTGTGAGGCCCCAGGTGGTGACGGCTGTGTTCTGCCTTCATCCTCAGGTGAGCAATGGCAGGCGCTGGCCAGCGCAAAGGCAAGAAGGATGACAATGGCATCGGCACGGCCATTGACTTTGTGCTCTCCAATGCCCGGCTGGTGCTGGGGGTGGGCGGAGCAGCCATGCTGGGCATCGCTACGCTGGCTGTGAAACGGGTAAGTGCCTGCAGCTGAGCCCGGGTGGAGAGGGGCTGCCTCGGGAGCAGAGCCGGTCTGGAACGGGCTTGGGTGCTGCTCATGGGAGTCCAACTGGGTCATTGGTTATTAGATGAGACCTTACAAGAGTTCAGTTAAGGCTACTTTTAGGTCTCTTCCCTAAAGAAATCAAATGAAGACGTTTATCCCAGCGGGTGAGAAATTATAAATACCCAAAAGATTCTTCCTTGACTGCCTTATTTAAAATAGCAACCCCACCACGCAGACACTTCCGGTTTCCCTTTTCTCCTCTATCTTAACATTTATTATACCTTTCTGCCTACTTTGCATTTAACTTGTTGATGTTTTGCCTGTGTCCCTCTGTGGACTGGGAGCTCCAGGGGTCTCTGGTTAGTGCTCTCTCCTGTACCTAGCACAGCACGTCGTAGCCACTCAGTATGTGTTAAATAAATTAGTTCACCCTTACATTCGGAAGGTACAGTGTTGTATAGTTAGAAGATGCACCATAATGTTGAACACCGGCTCATTTTTACTGGTCTGCGTAAATGACAAAAATCATAAGTGAAAAAAATTAGGTTTTAAAAGTATATATAGAGCAAGATCCTAATTACCTAAACCTACATTTCCAGAAAGAAATATACTAAAAATATTAACATTTATCTCTGGGTGGTGACATTATGGATAAATCTGTTTCTTATTTATATCATTTCATGTTTCCTGAACTTTCCTATTTTCTACATGGAGAGAGTATTCCATAATCCAGAATAAAGCCAAGGTATTGGAAACTAGCTTAGAGCTCACTACAGCTGCCGGGCAGGAGGGGAGCAGGCAGGCAGGAACATGTGTGGTCCTCTGGCTGTTTCAGATGTACGACCGGGCCATCAGTGCCCCGACCAGCCCCACCCGCCTGGGCCACTCGGGGAAGAGGAGCTGGGAAGAACCAAACTGGATGGGCTCCCCCCGGCTGCTGAACAAGGACATGAAGACGGGCCTGAGCCGGTCCCTGCAGACCCTCCCCACCGACTCCTCGGCCTTTGACACAGGTGAGAGCGCCCCTGGCCCCTTCTGGGCCCTCCCTGTGGGCTCTCGGTGCTACTCCCGCGTGTAGCAAACATCCCGCGAGCACGTACGTGCCAGGCACCGTGCTCGCACTTGCCTGTGGTGTGAGCTCTCCTTTCTGGGTGGCGGCAGCTGGGAAGAGCTGACATGCCTCTCTCTCTTGCCTTGGCAGACACATTCTGCCCACCCCAGCCCAAGCCACTGGCCAGGAAGGGCCAGGTGGACTTGAAGAAGTCACGACTCCGCATGTCCCTGCAGGAGAAACTCCTTTCTTACTACCGGACCCGGGCTGCCATCCCTGCCGGTGAGCAGGCTCGGGCCAAGCAGGCTGCGGTGGACATATGTGCTGAGCTCCGGGGCTTCCTGCGGGCCAAGCTGCCTGACATGCCGCTCCGGGACATGTACCTGAGCGGCAGCCTCTATGACGACCTGCAGGTAACAGGCAGTGCTCACCAGGCCGGGCTGGGTGCTGACCGGGGTGCTGCTCAGTCGTGCTATTGTACAAAAGAGGAGTGCCCCAGGCTTGCCGGGAAGACTGAAGTCTGACTGCTTCTGAACCCTGCACACCGGGAGCATTTGGAGATCGTTATCTTGGGCCTTGTTTTTTTTCAGATATAGATCTCATTCATTTTTTAAAAATTTATCTTGGTCTTTAAAAATCCATCTTTGGTTTTTAGTCACACAACTTCCAGGAAACCATAAGAGGCTCCTCCTTCCTCCACTCCTGTCCCTGCCTCTCCTTTCTAGTTCCTCTTGCCGGGTCTTTAGGCGTGGGGGCTGTCCCGCATGCTTTCATGTCTCAGTACAATGTGCCATGTGGCATGAGACGAGCTGCGGTCTGCAGACCTGGGTTTAAATCCTCAGTATGTCTCTATCGGAACTGAAAGGTTGGCAGGAAAGAATTCTTAGTTTCCGTTATTGTTGGGGAAATACAAGATAGAGGGACCTGTGTGTGAGGAAGCTATTACATCCCTCAAAACCTTTTTAATTCTTCTCACCAGGTGGTGACAGCGGACCACATCCAGCTCATTGTGCCCCTTGTCCTGGAGCAGAACCTGTGGTCGTGCATTCCCGGCGAGGACACCATCATGAATGTCCCCGGCTTCTTCCTGGTTCGTCGTGAGAACCCCGAGTACTTTCCTCGCGGCAGTAGTTACTGGGACCGCTGTGTGGTAGGGGGCTACCTCTCCCCAAAGACGGTGGCGGACACCTTTGAGAAGGTGGTGGCCGGCTCCATCAACTGGCCGGCCATAGGGTCTCTCTTGGACTATGTGATCCGCCCGGCGCCCCCTCCAGAGGCCTTGACTCTGGAAGTGCAATATGAGCGTGACAAACATCTTGTCATTGACTTCTTGCCGTCAGTGACTCTCGGTGACACTGTCTTGGTGGCCAGGCCACACCGGCTAGCCCAGTATGACAACCTGTGGCGGCTGAGCTTGCGTCCCGCTGAGACCGCGCGCCTGTGGGCTTTGGACCAGGCCGACTCGGGCTGCCGATCTCTGTGCCTCAAGATCCTCAAGGCCATATGCAAGTCCACGCCAGCTCTGGGCCCCCTCACTGCCAGCCAGCTCACCAACGTCATCCTCCACTTGGCACAGGAGGAGGCTGACTGGTCTCCAGATGTGCTGGCCGATCGGTTCCTGCAGGCCTTGAGGGGACTCATCAGGTACCTAGAGGCCGGAGTCCTGCCCAGTGCCCTAAACCCCAAGGTGAACTTATTTGCTGAGCTCACCCCGGAAGAGATAGACGAGTTGGGGTACACTCTCTATTGCTCGCTGTCTGAGCCGGAGGTGCTGCTGCAGACGTAGGGCAGGCGAAGGCCGGTGGGTGTTGGGCAGTCAGGCCTGGATTCTGTTAGGAACACTGGGCTCTAGAGATGGTGCCTCACAGGGTCCTAGGTGCCTCCCGTCTTGCTGGTCATCGCCCTGGTCACTTCACGCTGGTTAGAATGACATCTCTTAAATCTCCTATTTTCTCAAACCCGACCCTTTCTATTTTTGTTACCAAACACTGTGCTCCCTCCTCCTCCTCCACTCCGTGCTCCGGGCTGATTTTGCTGGAATGAATTGTCGAGGTGAAGCCCTGGCCCGAGCTATGGGAACCACTCGGTGTTTTGCATGTGGCCCAGGCTTTCCGCTCCCGTCTGTCCTGCCTCGCCCTTTGGCCTGCTTCTCTCCCGTCTTCTCTCCCTTTCCTGCTGTTCATGCCCGTTTTGTTCCTTTCCCTGGAGCACACCTGCCAATCAAGACGTTGCCTTTAGTTGAATATCACTGAGCTTATGATCGCATGTTTCCAAGCTGACCTCTGCAGAGCGCTCAGGCAGTATTTAGGGGTTCTGGGGTAAAGTGGCCGAAGAGCTGGCCGTTGATTCAGGTTCCTGGGAAAGAGGCCCATTCCCCCAACCTCCTGACCAGCTCGTAGCCATAGTGTGAGAGGTCTCTCACGGGAACACTGTTACTGCCCACACAGGATCGGGGGCTCAAGGTAAACTGATGCAGTTATTTGGAGATTCTTAGGGGCCATCAGTGAGCGTGCAGAGTGCGGGAACCGGAGGTGGCCTGGGAGAGGGTCTGTGTACTTGATGTCTCCAGCTCCTGTGGCTGGTCCAGACCAGCACCACCTGTGTGGCGGAGGCAGAGGGCAGCACCTCTGCATGAGCAGTCCATTCACCCTCTCCCTCGCCTCGTTGTCCTTTAAAAGGATGAGGCCTCCGAGAACACAGCCTTAGCCCCAGAGGTTGGAGGGAGGTTGACAGGCAGCAGGATGTCAGCTGGAAGACCCAGTCACCGGTTGTGGCTCAGTGACCATGTTTCCCCCCCACCAGGCCTGCCTTTCTAGGATGTTGTCTTGAGCAGAGCAGTCTGCCATGGGAGTGGGAGAGGGCTGTTTGCTGAACCCTCCAGGCACCTCCAGAGGCCAAAAGGCAAGCACACATGCTCAGACCTCTCCCCTCCCCTCCCCCTCCACTCCCGTCTGTCTCTCACCCAGCACCTGGGGAGAATGGTGCTACCTAGGAAGAGTGCACATGGATAAAACACACATGAAGGAGGTGGGACTTCCTGCGCTCCTTATTTCCCGCTGCTAAAATTGCACTATTTATTGCAATGTACGAAGAATCCTGGGTGGGGTGGGGAGGAGTGTTCAATACACAATGCCAGTGCATCTTCTTGTTTGGTGTATTTTTTTCCTGTTTGTGGCAAAAGCCTGATAGTTCTAGTTCTGTTTCTGATCACCCTGTCCAGTATTTTGTTCTCCCAACAAGTGTTGCTGTTTCCTCTGTGCACACTACCTCTCCGGCCAGTGAGATTCTGGCAAAGCTCCCTGCAGCTGCTCCTTCCCTCCCAATGACAGTGACATGAAAACGCTCTATAAATAGCAAGACCTCAGCTAGCCTCTGAGTCCATGGCGAGATTCCTGTTCCCTTTGGTCATAGATTAGGGGGTTGAGAACTAGGGTTAACCTTGGAGAACTTCCTGCCTTTTCTGTGTGTGCAAGGGTTCCTTTAAGTGGTTCAATTGTTTCATTTTTATGAAGATTTTGGGAGAGAACGAAAATCATAAAGCTCAGAACCCTGAGGGATTCTCCAGCCTGGCTGTTAAGAATCCAAATGAGGTTTTTAAAACTATATGCCAGAGTGCTGCCCTGGTGAGTGGTGTAGAAGGTGGAGCCTGGCATGGCATCTAAGAGGGGTGGGCTGGGAAAGTGTTGCCAAAACATGAGTTATTATTCATTGAGATAAAGGATCTGGTTTTCCCAGTGTATTATAAAACATACAATTTGCCTGTCGGTGTGGCTCAATGTTTGAGTGTTGACCCATGACCAAGGGGGTCATAGTTCAATTGCCGGTCAGGGCATATGCCTGGGTTGTGGGCTCGGTCCCCACAATGCTAAAGCTCAGTGTAGGGTGTACAGGAGGCAGCTGATCAATGATTCTAATCATTGATGTTTTTGTCTCTCTTCCTCTCAGAAGTCAAAAATATATTTAAAAACAAACAAATATAAAGGCAGAAATTCTTACTGCCTTTGCACTGAAAGGCTAGACAAAAACAGAAGGAAAAAAAAAAAGCCTTGCAATTTTTCCCAAGGTGGTGTCTCCAACCAAATTCCATATAAAACACTGACAGAATAGCTAAACAAACAAACAAACAACAACAAAAACCATTTTAAAGATCAAGTCTCAAATTCAAGCCAAGTGTAATTGTGATTCGAGTTTATCTCCTCTATTAGAGCATCTTTCTAAGGGCATCTCTCAACTGTGTTTCATAAAACCAAGAAACCATGACTTTGCCATTTCATAAGCAAGAACCTCTTAGGAGTTCTCAGAACTAAAAGCTGTGTGAATTCCCTGCCCTGGTCTGGCGGTTTTGCTAACCCACTGGGCAAACCTCATCATAAAACATGGCAGACAGACAAGTACTTTGAGATTCTCTGGTAAAGGGAGCAACATTCTGCCTCCCTCCCCGGCTCTCCCTTTAGTTTTTGGGGAAAGATGTGGTGCCTTTCCCGCCATTCTGCCTTTCTGCTCATAATTCACCTTTCCTGAAGCAATAGCATCTGGTCCTACGTCTCCATTTGGAAACTTACACCCTCTAAGATACACAAACCACAGCCTAATGCTTACACAGTACCCTCATTGTCTGGAGATTCTAATCAATTCCAAAGTGTCTTTTGGTTTTCCCTGTTGCCCTTTTTTAGAAATGAATTCAGGACAATAGTATTTTTTATACACTTGCTTGTGACTTTTTTCTTTTTCCAAATAAATAATCAAAGCTCATTTGGAAAAGCTGTGTTGAGGCCTACAGTCTTTCTTCCTGGGTCTCAGCCCCTGGTGGTCCACCGGGTGACACTCCAGACCAGCTGAGTTTGCTTCCTCGTACTCCACTCAGGTTTAGAACAGGAGTGGTTTGGACAAGGAATCAGCCTTAGGGTCACATGGCCCAGGAGAGTCCCCTGGGGGTTTCTGTAAGTGGGGATCCCTGCCTGTGTTCCGAGTCATCTGCTGTGGTTCATCTTTCTCGCGACGATGACCTGGCTGGGGACGTCTGTTGTCAGGATTTGTTAGAACTCTGCCCTGGCTGCTGAAGCTCAAGGCCAAAGACACCTAGGACTAGCGCAGTGAGGCTGTGTCCTTCTTGGACAGCTACTGATTGAGTGGCCAGTGTGCCCGAGATGTGGTTCTGCGGTTGGTTGTATACAGTGTGTTGTTTACCTTTTATTTTGACCTTGTAGTCTTTAAATTCCTGGTCCAATGCCAAGTCCACAGTTTGCCTTCCAGTCACTTGTCTGCCCTCAGTAGTACCGTAGTTGGTATGCTTGGCTGGTAATTTGGAGTCAGTCACCAACCTTTCGCCCTGTCATGGTTAGCTCCATAGAGAAGCAGCTTAGCCTTAAGAGCCAGGGAACTGCTGTCCCTTTTCTCCTGGAGGGAGGAGATAAAGCTGGAAACGTGATGTCCTTCACAGCACGGGAAGAAAATAAAAGTCTCCTTCCCAACAGCTTTGACTTGTGTGTGTGGCGTGAAACCTTTTCCCACAGGAGTGCTACTGGTTCTTCCTGTCCGCTAGAACGGTGAGGTGCTGGATCTGGGTCTCCATAATCGAATGGCTGGGATAAGCTGCTACTGCAGTCTTTCTTCCGTGACCTCTGCTGTGTCAGAACTGGGGCAGTGTTACTTTAATTTTCAACCATCTGCGTGGTCAGCCCTCAGGAGGCACTGGTAGGTCTCTTGAAACAAGAAAAGGAGGACACGCCCTGCGGGTCCTTAGTTAGGCCTTTGGAAGACTTGTGGAGTGGCTCAGGGACCCTCACTGCCTTTGATCTAAAGGCTGGATGACTTATGTTATCTCAATACTTGGGACTCCCCATGGGGATAGAAAAACCACACACACCAGGATCCAGTATGCTTTGCACTTACCAGTTGTTTATAGTTGTTGGCTTCCTCTCAGTAAATGGGAGCCCTCTGAGAAGCAGGATGACATAATGGAGATGGGGAGGTGGGGATTGGGAGGTCAGGGTCAGAAGACCTGAATTCTAATAATAATCAATTGAGCACCTATCAGGTACCAGGCACTTTTCACTTCATTCTAAGGATATACTCATTGGCCCCATTTTACAGACGAGGAAACTGAGCCCCAGCAAGAATAAGTCACTTAACCAAAACATCCTGGCTAGTTCATGAAAGAGCCAGGATTCTTTTGGGTTTGCCCCCTAGGGTCTGCCTTCTAACTCCTACCCCAGGAAGGCAGTGTGACTTTGGGCAGAACACCTCATCCCATTCGTCCTGTTCTCCATTGTAAAGAAGTTGAACTAGATGAAGCCAGTCGATGGCTTGTAGTTAGGACAGAGGTTCCCAATGTTTCCACAGCACGGCCCTCCTGGGAATGTCTATGGCCCATCCCAAGGACTTGGTAGGAAGCGGACGCCTGGGGGGTTAAGAAGTGGTAGGTAGTTGAGTGAATTTTTTCCCTCTTTAGAGAAACAACCAAACAAGTTCTGCTGTGATAGCCTGCGGATTCTAATAGACGAGCAGACACATGTTGGCAGAGTGGATATATAAAAGCAGAATTGGTTGGGCTATAGGATGATGCATCTTCCCGGCGCAACTTGACAGAACTCGGAATAAGGCCGCAGAGCTGCCTGCGATGGTAGGTGGGCAGAGATCAGGGGACCTTCCGCCTCTGGTCCTCAGGCTCCCCTTCCAGCTACCCAAGGGCTTCCATGTGGTGAGATCGCACACGAAAGGGCATTTCCTTTTGCCTGGCTTCATCTTCCAGCCGCAATCCGGTCCCTAGTTGGAGCTACGCTACGAGCAGGGGCTGGGGCCCGACGTCACCACCCGGGACTCCCGGGGTGAGAAGCGCCGTGGCCAGCGACAGGCCTGAGGAAGCCACCGCAGAGCTGTGCGCCCAGAGGGCGGACGGACGACAGGCCGCCAGACCCCACACGCTGGGAAACACTCTGCCGCCCCGTCCTTCCCTCCCGCACCCCAGGTCACCTCACTGCAGAGCCCACCCACCTTGGACCCTGAGCCAATAACAAATCGAGATATATATGACTCACCACGGGCGGCCAATCGGCTCGGTGCGCGCTCTCCGCCGGCATCTCGCGCGATGAGAAGGCTCCGGGGCTTCACAATACAAACCTTTCTTGGAAGTGACATTTCTCCCCGCCCTTCAGTCAGGACCGGAAGCGGGGCACGTCCGGTGGATCCCTCCGCGCTCGGCGATGAGAGGGACTCTTTGATCTTAGGAGCCTTGTAAAGCAGCGTATCTTTTGTTTCTCGAGGACTTTAAAACAGCACATTTTCTCTCTGGAGTTACGCCCTGGCCGAAAAAGTCGTTGGTTGGAAGAAGTAGGGCGTCCACGGGTGGAAATAAGTGGGTGGGAGGTGGAGGTCACGTGACCGCAGCGGAAGGCTCTTCTTTGTGATGCGTCATCGTGAGGGAGGAAAGTTATAAAAGATCCGCGGCGCGGCCGGCGCGGCCATTTCCTCTCCCGCTGCAGATGTAGTCTCTTGAACGTGTCCCTCCCTCCCTCCTCCGCTCCCACAGCTCCGGCCGACATGGCGCACTAGAGGCAGCAGTGCCAGCGGCAGCATTGGCCTTCGCAGCGGCGGCAGCAGCACCAGGCTCTGCAGCGGCACCTCCCAGCGGCTTAAGCCATGGCGTAAGTGCGGGGTCGGGCTGCCGTTCGCGGGCGCCCCTGGGGCGTCGGGGACCAGCGATCCTATGGGCGCGGCCGCAGCCGGCGGCGCCGCGGAGGGGGAAGCGGTTTTACGAGCGCGGGGGACGCCTGGCCCCAGTTTGGCTGCTCCGAGACGCCGGCGCCTGGGCTGGGGGAGCGCGGCTGGGCCGGGGGGAAAGCCCCGGTGGCCTCGCCTCTTCCACCCCCAGCCCCACCCCTACCCGCCGAGGCCCGCCTGGCGCCGGGCGAAACGTGGCAGCAGCAGCCAAGATGGCGGCGGTCTGGGCGGCGGCCGGGGCGTGAGTCACAGGGCGGGGGAGGCGGGGAGGCGGGGGCGCGGCCCTGTTTGGCCTGGAGGAGAGGAAGCAGCCCTACCTCTGGTGGCCGCTTGGAGAATGGCCTGGCTCCTCGGGCCAACTGAGCCTCCTGACCGGCATCCGGGAGGAGGAGCACAATGGCCCCGGCGCCACGTGTTTCCAGGCCCCTCCGGCCAAGCCGTCCTGCCCCGGCGGGGAAAGGTGACGTTTCCAGACCAGCTGACGGCTAATGGGACTCTGTTCCTCGCTCCTATGCAGGCTTTTCACGGCATTCAGCAGCAGCCTTGCTGTAACCGACAAGGACACATTCGAATTGAACACATTCCTCGATTCCAGCAGAGCCCCACAACATGACCGACATGAGCTTCTTGAGCAGCGAGGTGTTGGTGGGGGGCTTGATGTCCCCCTTCAGCCAGTCGGCTTTGGGGGCTGAAGAAAGCTTAGATCTCCTAGACGACTACCTGGAGGTGGCCAAGAACTTGAAACCCCATGGGTTCTCCAGCGACCAGGCGAAGGCGGGCTCCGAATGGCTGGCTGCGGATGGGTTGGTCAGTGCCTCAGACAACGGCAAGGGTAAGTGCCCATCGTTTATCTGCCACGGAGTCCTGGTCATCGTTGGCTGCCTTGCGCATCTGGCTGAACTGGTGTTCTTTTTCAATCTTTTGCAGAGGATGCCTTTTCGGGGACAGATTGGATGGTGGAGAAAATGGATCTCAAGGAGTTTGACTTCGATGCCCTGTTAAGTTTGGGTGACCTGGATACCATGCCCGATGATGAGCTTTTGGCCACCTTGGATGACCCCTGTGAACTCTTTGACCCCTTAGACCAGGAGATTAATAAGGAGCCCCTCCATACAGTGAACCCAATTGGCCATCTTCCAGAAAGTTTACTACAAACTGATCAGGTTGCCCCCTTCACCTTCCTGCAACCTCTTGCCCTTAACCCAGAGGCCCTGCCCTGCACTCCGGAGCATTCATTCAGTTTAGAGCTGGGAAGTGAAGTTGACATCTCTGAAGGAGATAGGAAATCAGACTCCGCTACTTTTATTACCATAGTCCCTCAAAGCATCAAGGAGGAGGAGGGCACCTCAGACAATGACAGTGGCGTCTGTATGAGCCCCGAGTCCTACCTGGGCTCTCCCCAGCATAGCCCCTCCACCTCCAGGGCCTCCCCAAACAGGAACCTGCTGTCTCCAGCTACCCCCTGTGGGTCTGCTGGCCCCAAACCCTACGACCCTCCTGTAGAGAAGGTGGTGGTAGCAAAAGTAAAGGGTGAGAAGCTAGATAAAAGGCTGAAAAAGATGGAGCAGAACAAGACGGCAGCCACTAGGTACCGCCAGAAGAAGCGAGCGGAGCAGGAGGCCCTCACCGGGGAGTGCAAGGAGCTAGAGAAGAAGAACGAGGCTCTGAAAGAGAAGGCCGATTCCTTGGCCAAGGAGATCCAGTATCTGAAAGATCTGATAGAAGAGGTCCGCAAAGCCAGGGGGAAGAAAAGGGCCCCCTAGGTAGGGTAGTCGGTGTGTCTTGTACATAGGAGGCTTGTGCTGGAGATTGTATTATAATAAATTATTTTGTAGTGAAAGGACTGCAGACTGTGTCTGTCTTCTTGCCCCAACCCAGCCAACTGTCTTAGAACTGGATTCTTAGCCAGAGGGAGATTGCAGCATGCTTACGGCTGAGCCCAGAGGGAAGTGTGCTTGTTATAGGATCACTGGTGACTAACATTGGACTCTGGGCCAGAACCCCAACACACAGCAGGTGGTTTTCCAGAGCTGGGAAGTGGGGGGCTCTCCCTTGGTTAGGGGGAAGGCTCTATGGGGGTTTAACCAGAGGGGACTGGGTTGTAGGAACAGCCCAGGCTCCACCTGTTCTAGTTTGGCCTCTTGCCATCTGTCATTCTGCACCCAGATAAGGTTCCACAGTCCTTCAGCTGGGTGTGCTGATGAGCTTTTATTTCCCTTTCATCTTGACACTCTTGTAATAGAAAAGGGGAAGGACCTAGGCCTGTCACTTGGGCAGCTTCACCAGGAAGCTAGAACTTAACCTCCACAGGAAAGGTGGGGTGACATCCCCTGGGAACAGGTCATGGGCCAGAATTGTGGCCACTGCAAGCAGGATATGGAGGAGGCAGGAGATTAAATCTGGACTAAAGAGTTCCTGCTGATCTTTGTTCCTCCATTTTGGGGCTGTTCAGGGAGCACTGTCCTGAATTCACACCCACATTCAAAAGGACTGCAACTAGCCTAAGCTTGAAAGATGACTTAAGGATATCTCCCCTCTCCCCTACCAGGGTTTTTAATGCGGGTGGAGCATGAGAAAAGGGGCCAAAGCCTGCAGACGGGACCAGGTCCAGCTCTACCCCAGCAGTTCTGTGGCACTCCTGTCCAGGCTCAGGCTGGAAAGCTGGTTAATAAGCAGGAAGAGCTCCAAGGCAGTGGGTAGGGCTGAGGAACCCTGGCACACTAGTACCTGTGCAGGGGTTGGCTCCAGCCACAGGGCACCTGCTGAAGTGATTGCCACGACCTATGAAGTCCTTGGAGGAGGAGAGGAGGTAGAAGAGCTGCCTGAAGGTGCCCACGCCCTCTGAAGGCCCCCAATCCCAAGGGGCCTCTGGCTTCCAGGACTTGTCCTCGCCACACTTTAGGCAATGCTGGGCCGTGCGGGCTGCAAGGGGTCCAGCCCCTACCTTTGTGCTCAGGCAGACGCGAGTGTGAAACCCTGTTGCTTGCCGTCGCCTTCTGAACCACCCCACCAGCCCAACTGACACATTCCCCACATGTGAGCATAGGACTTGGGTGACAGGCTGGCAAAATTCCTCCCCCAGACCCTGGAGTCGCATCCCTGGATCAAAACCTCTGGCAGCTGTGGGCGCGACCCCCAGGGGAGGAGGGCCCCTCTGGCCATGCCAGCAGATGCTGTGTGAACTCTGGCAGCCTGCACTGGGGCTGAGCTGGAGGACTTCTGCCCTGAGCTCCAAGAACCACACTGGGCGGGGGCGGGGGGGGGGGGGGGGGGCGACGACGACGGAGGGAAGACCAGCAGCGCACATCCAGCTCCAGCCATATTTATTAGAACCCGGAAGCATACCCAGAAGCCTCCCCCTGCTCCTGGAGGTGTGGCCCTGCGGCCCAGGAACTGGCCTCCACAAGCAAACAGCCAAGAGGTCCTACCTGGGCCAAAGCAAACAAGTCAGAAAGGTTCCTTTTTGGCAGGAAGGTGGCTCCTCCCAAGCCTGCGGGTTTCCCGTCAGAGTTTAAATGTTCAAATGCTCCCGCAGGCTTCCAGCTCGCCAGCTCCACTCCACCCTGCCCCTGGCTCCAGCTCCGGGGCTTCCTCAGGTCAGGCTGGCCCCTCTGCATGGCAGGGTGCCAGGCCCAGCAGTGGCTGCGAGGTCAGAGGAGAAAGCTGAGCCCAAGTCTCTCCCATGGCCTCCAGGGGCCTAGCTGCCGAAGTACTCCTGCTGGAACTTCTGGAAGTCCTCCTCCGTGAACACCGTGCCTTCAGCCTTCTTCTTCTTCTTCTTGGCCCCGGGCCGGTCACAGGCCTTGCGGCCCCGATTCTGGCGCAGAATCTGGGGATGTGCAGGAGTCAGGACGTGAGGGAGCAGAACCACCTGGCACAGTGGCCAAGTGCTGCCCCCTCCCCTGGTATGCTCTTAGCCCCGTGGTCGGCAAACTGCGGCTCGCAAGCCACGTGCGGCTCTTTGGCCCCTTGAGTGTGGCTCTTCCACAAAATACCATGGCCTGGGCCAGTCTATTTTGAAGAAGTGGCGTTAGAAGGTTTAAAAAGTTTGGCTCTCCAAAGAAATTTCAATCCTCGTACTGTTGATATTTGGCTCTGTTGACTTATGAGTTTGCCGACCATTGTCTTAGCCCCTCAGGGGAGACCCCCCACAGCATAGCAATATAGGAGTGTGGGAGGTGGCCCAAACTCCACCCCACACTAGGGCCGAGACCCCCAGGAACATCCTCAGCGCCCCCCTCCCCCCCCCCACAGCCACCGCGACACACCTGCCTGGTGACGGACTCGGGCACGGTGCTCCTGGCACTGGTCATAAACGCCAGGTTCACGCCAAGGTAGCCTCGCTGCTCTCGCTTCTGGAACTCGGCTGTGGATGGCAGGCAGGGCGGCAGCATTTCAGATGCACTCCCTCTCGTTATCCAGGCCCCTCTTGATATCTCCTCATTACCCCCCTCCACCCAACAGCCTTGCCAAAGGCCTTGTTGTCCCTTCCCAGTGGGAAGAGAGGTGGTAGAGTATTTAGAAGGTGATACATTTCATGGAGAAAAACAGAATAGTAAACAGGAATCAAAGACGGGGGCTCATTCTTTTTTTTTTTGATTTGAGAGAAAGGAGGAGAGGGATAGGGAGGGAAACACTGATGTGAGAGGCACACATCAATCGGTTGCCTTCCTTACTCACCCCCACTGGGGCCAGGGATTGAACCTGCAACCCAAGTGTGAGCCCTTGACTGGGAATCAAATTAGTGACACTTCAGTCCATGGGCTGAAGCTTTAATCACTGCGCCACACCAGCCAACGGCTAACATTTTTTTTTTAACCCTCACATGAAAAAGCCTCAATGAAATGATGTTTGAGCAAAGACTCAAGGGAGAGCCAAACCGGTTTGGCTCAGTGGATAGAGCGTCAGCCTGTGGACTGAAGGGTTCCGGTCAAGGGCACGTACCTTGGTTGCAGGCACATCCCCAGTAGGGGGTGTGCAAAAGGCAGCTGATCGATGATTCTCTCTCATCGATGTTTCTACCTTGTTTCCTCGAAAATAAGACAGTGCCTTACATTAATTTTTTCTCCCAAAGTTGCGCTAGGTCTTATTTTCAGGGGATGTCTTTTCTTTCCATGCGCTAGGTCTTGTTTTCGGAGGATGTCTTATTTTCGGGGAAACACGGCAACTCTCTATCCTTCTCTCTTCTTCTTTGTAAAAAATCAATAAAATATATTAAAAAAAACAAACAAAAACCTCAGGGGAGAGTGTGGTACCTACGGGAAGATCATTCTAGAGAGAGGCAACAGGCAGTGTGAAGGCCCTGAAGCAGAAGTGAGAAAAATGGCTGGAAGGGGAGGAGAGGGCAGTAGAAGGGACGGGCCAGGTGGGCCTCATTAGGCACCCTGAGAACTCGGGCCTTCACAAGAAGGTGTAGGGCAGAGAAGACACCATTTTGTAGGATCACTTTTGCTGTTTGAGGAAGGGGGAGTGGAAGGTGAGACACCAGCTAGGCTTTCACAGTAATTCAGGCAAAAGAGGCAGTTCCCAGAAGCGGCAGTCACAGAGGTGTTTTTCAGATTGGCCACTGAGGCTTGTGAATCCCCTCACTTGTCAATTATGTACCAACCAGAGGCCCGGTGCATAAAATTCGTGCAGGTGTGTGTGTGTGTCCCTCAGCCTAGTCTGCACCCTCTCCAATCTGGGGCATCCCTCTCACAATCTGGGACTGCTGGCTCCTAACCCCTTGCCTGCCTGGCTGCCTGATTGACACCTAACTGCTCCCCTGCCAGCCTGATCACCTTGAACTGCCCTCCCCTGCAGGCCTGGTCACCCCCAACTGCCCTCCTGCAGGCCTGGTCACCCCCATCTTATGATGACGTGGGGGTGGCCATCTTGTGATGTGAGGGTGCGAGGGTCAATTGGCATATTACCTCTTTATTATATAGGATTATGGGACAAAGTCTGGGCTGGATGGGGCCACCTGTGTCCTATGCCCTTCACACCAACATCACTATTGCTCAAATGGGCCTCACTTTTCTGCCTCCACACTTTTGCTCGGGCTGTTTCCTCCCTGGGTTTCATAGTTCTTTGACCAAACACTTGAATATTTTTTATGCAACAGGCCCAGGTTCAGAGACTCTAGGAACTCACCAAGTCCTGGCACATATCCTCCCTCCCACCATCCTGCCCATACCTGCCCCTCCCCAAGTCTGTATCTCTTGAAGTGGCACCACATCCCCCACGGTGCTGTGGAAACTGGGATCGTCTGTGTCTCCCCCTCCCTCCAGTTCACCACTGAAGCCCATCAGTGCTCCTCCCCCCATCCCTCCCAGCTTCCACCTGCACAGGTCTCTCCTCTCTGCACCCTCACCACTGCCAGGCCACAGCGCCTCTCACTTGAACGGGGTGGGCAAGAGCCGGGCCCTGGAGGCGCTGCCTGGCTGCCACCTGCACCATCTCACAGGGCTGCGGTGAGGATTACACGAGTGAGCGTTTGCACAGGGTTAGCAACCGGCACACTGACTAGGACCTGGTTACATGCTCCATCTCCGACCCTCGTTCACTCCATGTCACCGTCACCAGGCTTCTTTCTTCCAAATTGTCAAAGGCAACACACTTCTGACCCTGCACATGCCAGTCTCTCTGGACTTCCTTCAGATCTGGGCTCACATGTCGCTCCCTCAGAAGTCTGACTTAGTCTTTTATTCGCAGTCCCTCTCAGATCACAGACCTTCAAAGCCTTCCTCACACGTCAGTTGATTTTGAAACTCTCTGATGCCTCTCTGCCCACCGGGGCTGTAGACCATGCGCCCTGGGACCTTGTGTTTTCCCAGGACCCCGCTCTGCGCATGGCTCACAGGAGGTGCCCCAGGAATGCCTGACACGCGTGTCAAGCCCGGCCTCCAGGTCCCCTTCCTCCAGGGCACAGCCCGGCCCCGGGGGCAGCACGCCCGGCCCCTTCCCCACCTTACCCAGCGCCGACTTGGGCACTTTCCCTTTCGCCGAGTTCCGCAGTTTCCCGGCCTGGGCCGCCTTCGCCTTCGCCTTCGCCTTCGCGGCCTGCTTCCCCGGAGCCCCGCTCGGCTTGGCCTGGCCCGGCTTGGCCTGGGGGGCTGGAGGGACAGAGGAACGGCCCCGGGTCGGAGAGCGCGCAGGGCTCCGCGCCCACCGGGACAAGGCCGGACGGAATCCCGCACCCTCCGGAGCCCGCCCTCAGCCCCAGCCCCCTGGCCGCGCCGGGAGTCTCCGGCAGGCTCTCCTCACCCTCGGGCGCCCCCAGGAGCTCCAGGCCTCTGCGCAGCAAGGCCGCCGACATGGCTGCGCCTGGCCCCGCCCACACGCCCCACGCTACTTCCGCCCCGGCCCCCCTCGTTGTCCCAGCGGAAATGCGGGGTGAGCGGGCGGAAGTGCTCGCCTTCCTTAGGTTAGTTTACTACTGAGAAGGAACAGGGGCGGGGTCGGAGGCGGGGACAACGTGCAGACAGACGCGTTTGTTGTCCAATCCCAGCCACGTATCCCTTTGGGCGCCAGACCACGCCCCCTTCCGGAAGCCTAACCAAGTACGGTAGATCCAAACTCTAGGGGGCGGGGTCGAGCGCAGTGTTAGTATTCTCAATTTTTACAAAAAAAGAGACTGTTGAGTTGGATTTTTAAAAATATATTTCAACCAAAGCAACATATAGCACAGATTGAGTGCGGCATGAGAATTCAGCTGTCTTCCATTAAAGACATATGCAAAAATGCAAAACAATATTGTTTTCACACTTTTGTTTGGGAAAAAACATTTTCATAAAAATATGTTATTTATGTTAACATGCAATGAGTTTGTTATTTTAAATGAATTGGTAAATATTTAGTTTTTTTAGTTTTTGTTTTTAAAAAAACATTTTATTTATTTTTTTTACAGAGAGAAGGGAGAGGGACAGAGAGTTAGAAACATCGATCAGATGATCCCTACTGAGGATGTGCCCTTGACTGGAACATGCTCTTGACTGGGATCGAACCTGAAACCCTTCAGTCTGCAGGCCTATGCTCTATCCACTGAGCCAAATCAGTTAGGACAGTTTTAATTTCTAATAGGCATATAGCAACAGATATTAACATACACAAAAGCTCTTTCGGATCCTGAAACTTTTTTTTTATTATTGATTTTTTACAGAGAAAGAGAGAGGGATAGAAAGTTAGAAACATCGATGAGAGAGAATCATTGATCAGCTGCCTCTTGCACACACCCCATTGAGGATGTGCCTGCAACCAAGGTACATGCCCTTGACCGAAATCAAACCCTGGACCTTTCAGTCCACAGGCCAATGCTCTATCCACTGAGCCAAACAGGTTTCGACAGGGATCTTGAAACTTTAAAAAGAGTGTAAAGAGGTTGTTAGGCAAAAAAAAAAAAAAAAAAGTGAGAACTTCTGGCCTAGAAATGACTCTTCTTGCAGTGGAAGGGAGCCCTGTCTTCACTACTCAATTGCAGCTCCTAGTCCAGTGCTAGCTGGCATGCAGAAGCACTCAGTAAATGAATGGCGAGAGGAGGAACCGCTGAGCTCACTGAGCAAACATGTCCTGCGGGCCTTTTGTATACCTGACACTGAGCACTGGACATGGAAATGACTCAGCCGGTCCTTCCTGTCTAATAGCCGTCAGCAATGCTGGGAAGAAGAGAAGCACCTAAATAGTGACAATACTGTATCAAGATACTGTTTTACATTTGTTAACTTACCCCCCCTTCCCCATGATTGTGAAGTAGGAGCAACTGTTTCCCCATTTTACAGATGAGGAAACAGAAGCCAAGGTCACAGGTGGTATCAGAGCTGGGAATCAAGACAGCCCGGCCTGAGCTTTTGTGCACTGAGTGGGGCCTGCCCAGCCTGAGGGTCACAGACCTCCAGAGAAGAGGAGCTTGGTGAGAGGGGAGGGTCCCGGGAAGGAGGACCCTGTGGTGAGGTTACATCCCCTGGGCCAGGAGTGGCCCCAGAGGAGCAAGAGGGAAAGGTGATCTAATTGGCGCCAGACTCCATGAGTTTCCCCTAAGTGCATGCCTGAGCATAGGCGTGTGTGTGTGTGCACACACACACATGTCTAGCCCAGTGACTTCTATAATAATAAAAGCATAATATGCTAATTAGACCAGACAGCCCGAAAGACAACTCATCAGTGTTTCTAACTCTATCCCTCTCTCTTCCTCTCTGTAAAAATAAAAATAAAAATATATATTTAAAAATAATATACAGTGATTCAATAGTAGAGGATTTTGAGAATCAAGTCAACAATTTGATATATGAGGAAGCAAAAGACGCTCAACCAGAAGAGCAAAAAGGAAAAAGAATCCAAAAATATGAAGAAAGTACTTTCAGCCTGCAGGCCGACACTCTATCCAATGAGCCAAACCGGTTATGGCTCTATACCCAGTAGTTTGCTTTCTTCCATTTCTTTCATTTGTGACATGTTTATTTTATCCTCATTTTGGCTGCTTCCCTGTGTGTGTTTCTATACATTGGGTAGAGCTGCTATGTCTCCCTGAGTTGGTAGAGTGTTCTGTAGGATCCAGTGGTTCAGCTTCCCCACGCCTCTTTGGGCTGTGAGCACAGACTTGTTGTAGTTGAGACTTGATTGCTGTTGGCGTCACTGGGAGGAATTGACCTCCAGGCAATTGGCTGTGAGAACCAGCTGTGACTATAGTTGGAGAGCTGCTGTGCAGGAAACACCCTTACGAATTGCGGCTTTGGTGCTCACCGAGTCTTCCCCTTGAATGTGTTACTTACGGGTGTCTTGAGTTGTAATCTGATATGATCTGACACTGACCACAGTGGCTCTTGGGTCTCCAGAGGCGTGGAATGGGCTGTAGGGCACCCACAGGGCTGCTTTTTTTTTTTTTTTTTTGTAAATATATTTTATTGACTTTTTACAGAGAGGAAGGGAGAGAGATAGAGAGCTAGAAACATCGATGAGAGAGAAACATCGACCAGCTGCCTCTTGCACACCCGCTACAGGGGATGTGCCCGCAACCAACGAACATGCCCTTGACCGGAATCAAACCTGGGACCTTTCAGTCCACAGACCGACGCTCTACCACTGAGCCAAACCGGCTTCGGCAAGGGCTGCTTTTTTAATCGCGAGGGAGATCTTCTCTGCAGAGGCCACTCGGAGGAGCAAGGGGGCCCAGCCCCACACCAGAACCCCAGCCCAGTGTCCCAGAGCTTGCTTGCTTACTTACTTACTTACGGGCTGTAAAAACCAGTGCCGATTGGGGCTCAGTGAGAACAGAGGCTGCTATAATATACAGTGATTCAACATGGGGCCATGCAGCAGGAGCTACAGAGAGATCTGCAGATTCCTCCTCTTTGTATTGGGGTTGGAAGTGCCCAGATGAGGCCCAGCTATGAAGCCAGGCAGGCTGGTGCTGGTAGCAGGTCTTGGGCCTTTTATTGATAGGTTTTGGGCTCCCTGACCGAGCTACAGCTCATTTGAGAGATTTTAGCCTGAGCAAATAAAGGCCATTCAGAAGCAAAAGCTGCTGCATGCAGCTTGGGTGGGGTTGTAAATTGGATGAGGTGGGGTCTTAGGGAATCACCTGGGCTGAGCAAACAGAAATGACTGCTACTCAGCCCTGCCTCTGGGGAGGTCCCAGCACAGGAACAATGATCCATGCCAGCACCTGCGTCTGGGAGCAGGCCACCTCTGAGTTCCTGCCCCGATGCCCGACAGTCCACAGTTCCTCCTTGAATGTGTCTGTGTTCCCAAGAGACCTGCCCTGGTGCTGGACCTCAGAGGAAGTGGGACCTTGTAAGTTCAGTTCGCGGTGCTGGCCTTTTAATAGGAACAGCTGGATCTCTAGCAGCTCTGTTCTCATGATCCCCAATCGGCACTGGTTTTTACAGCCCATAGTATGTAAGTAAGCAAGCTCTGGGACTCTGGGCTGGGAGGTCTGGTGTGGGGGTGGGCCCTCTGCAGAGAAGATCTCCCTCCCGTGTGGGTGCCCGATCAGCCCGTTCCACGCCTCTGCACCTCCTACCAGTTTCAGTGCTTCCTCCTTCACTTCCGTTTTGCCAGCTTTCCAGGTTCTGGATGATGGTTGTTCTGTATTTTAGTTGTAATTTTGATGTGGTTGTGGGAGGCAGGGAGTACAAGCGTTTACCTATGCCTGCCAACTTAGTTGTCTCCTAAGTCTTTATTGTTGAAAATATTACATATGTCTCCCTTTTCCCTCATTTCTCCAGGTTCCTCCATGCTGTCTCAAAGGGTAAGATTCTTCTTTCTTACTGCTGCATAGTATTCCATGGTATAGATGTACCACAGCTTTTTTATCCACTCATCTACTGGTGGGCACTTGAGCTGTTTCCAGATCTTAGCTCCTGTAAATTGTGCTATGAACATAGGGGTGCAGATATCCTTTCTGACTGGTGTTTCTGATTTCTTGGGATATATTCTTAGGGGTGGGATCACTGGGCCAAATGGCAGTTCCAGATTTAATTTTTGAGGAAACTCCATACTGTTCTCCACAGTGGCTGCACCAGTCTGCATTCCCACCAGCAGTGCATGAGGGTTCCTTTTTTTAAAAAAAAATATATTTTATTGATTATTTATAGAGAGGAGGAGAGAGGGATAGAGAAATACAATAGAAACGCTGATGAGAGAGAAACATTGACCAGCTGCCTCTTGCACACTCCCTACCGGGGATGTGCCCACAACCAATGTATATGCCCTTGACCGGAATTGAACCTGGGACCTTTTAGCCCGCAGACCAAAGCTCTACCACTGAGCCAAACCGGTTTCGGCGAGGGTTCCCTTTTTACCACATCCTCGCCGGCACTTGTCATTTGTTGATGGTAGCCATTCTGACAGGTGTGAGGTGACGCCTCATTGTCATTTTAATTTGTATTTCTCTGATGATCAGTGACTTTGAGCATTTTTTCATATGTCTCTTGGCCATCTTATGTCCACTTTGGAAAATTATTTAGGTCCTTTGTCCATTTTTTAATTGGCTTGTTTGTCTTTTGTAAAGTTGTATAAGTTCTATATATGTATGCATATATATATATATATATATATATATAAATATATATATGTGTGTATATATATATATATATATATATATATATATATCTTATATATCAGATGTATCATTACCAACTACGTTCTCCCTTACAGTGGGCTCCCTTTTCGTTTTGTTGATGGTTTCTTTTGTTGTGCAGAAGTTTTTTATTTTGGTGTGGTCCCATGTGTTTATTTTCTCCTTCGTTTCCTTTGCCCTAGACCAGTGGTCAGCAAGCTCATTAGTCCACAGAGCCAAATATCAACAGTACAACGATTGAAATTTCTTTGGAGAGCCACATTTTTAAAACTTAAACTTCTTCTAACGCCTCTTCTTCAAAACAGAC